CTCGTCTCTTGCTCTACTTCAACACCAATAAACCACATAGTTTTTTTTTTTTGCAGAATACCAGTTGTATTAGAAAACCGCAGGTAATCTCAGGGTGGGGGGGTGCGCACCCCCTGCACCCTCCCCCTAGATCCGCCCCTGGTGTCCATCTTAGAGATGTGTCTGTCTTACAGAGAGTAAAATAAAAGGAGTAAAGAAAGGCAGGGACCAACTCTAAGTGTCCGTTTTACAGAGGTGTCCGTCTTATAGAGTTGTCCGTTAAGAGAGAGTCGACTGTAGTATCCTCTATTTCACACAGTAAATATTGGTGCTGGAGCTCTTGTCAACCATAAATTCTTCTCACTATTAAGTCCATGACCTCAGACAGAAGTATCTTTTGCGGGATATTAGCTGTACAAAGCAGTTCTGATTTCTGCGAAGTCAAGACATGCACTTTAATCCCGACACTGGAACCACTTCTGTCTCCATGTTCCATACTCTAGCAATTTCTACTGACGGTTCGGTATAGTTATTGATCTTCTCAAATTCTTTCTTTGCGTTATTTTGGTCTCCTGGTATGAATGCATGAACAATGAGGCATTTTCGTCTTGTCTTGTCAACAACAGTTATGTCCGATCTGCGATGTTCAATGATCCGGTCAATATGAATGTGATATTAAAACCAATAAAATTTTAATCACAGCAGACGCAACTAAGCTGAGTCCAGTTTTAGATTTAGATCAGCTAGGGTATGGAACGAGTTAGCTTAAAATTTAAAATATAGCCTTTCATTTACTTCCCTTTTAAAGGAAACTCAATCTAACTAATCTCAGTAAAGGAAGGGAAAGCAAAGAATTATAACGAGAGAGAGAGGGGAGTCACGACTGTATACTGTTCAGGGGCACCCAACGAGAATATAGTTCAAAACCACTTAAACATAGCATTGTTAAACGTATTTTAGTATTTAAACGGTAGGTACAAGCATATTTTTATCCCCTAAAAATTATCCATCTGTTCGGATTTCCCTAGCTGAAAGTCTAGTGATCCAAAAATTATAGGGATCAAAACTTACCTTTTCGAAAATTTTAGCCAGAAAAAAAAAAGGCTCTCGAAAATTCTAGGTGACCGTTTTAGGGTAAAAATCCGTTAATAATGGGCAATTATATCTCAAATCGTCTTCCGAACAGATATTTTCCGAAAATTGACGTTGCCCCTGACTGTGATTAGACTTCGTCGTATAGCCAGTTTTTAGCAGATGACACTCAAGGGACATTGCGGCTATTTCGATTCATAGTGTAAAGAATGAACTTTGCAATCAGTATATTAAAGAGTTACTTGACTTAAATAATAGAAGCTATAAGTTAAGAGTGAAAGAGCTGATGTTACCGAGGTTTACATGTAATACCACAAGCTATGATAAACATTCGTTGAGATACTTGGCACCTCAACTTTGGTCGGAGCTAGACTCAAATGTGCGGAACACACCATAAATTTACGCTGTTTAAAAGGTTATAAGAAAACTAGATTTAGATGTTTTAAACAGCAACAACTATAAAATCTGTTATTATCCTATGTTCTTAGTTGTACATTTTACATAGCAGCCAATTCTTTGTTTCTTCGTATATTTTTTTTTGCGGACAACCGTGAACTTCACTTTTCTGTATGCACAAGCATGATGGGCTAGACTGCCGCGCTTTACACAACCGTGAAGCAGTTTTTACTTGGAAACGAGGCTGCAAGCAAAATTTCATCGTGTCGATGGGTTATTGCCTACACCTTCCAAATATGACAAGCGTCGGTCGGTTATGGAATCAGCCAGGGGATTACAACCAATCACAACGGCGAAATATAAGAATGTCGATGAATGAATATATTTCTCGGATTCTGATGACTTACATGTAAATCCCCCGGCCAATTCTTTAGAACAAGCTGGCGTTGACCAGGTTCGCTGGATGTTTGTTGCCGGTAAGTTATAAAAATGAAGTCAGCAATGCAGCTGTCGCCAGAAAAAGGGACGGCAACTGAGAAGCCCTTGTAGGGGAGGCTGCGTTAGATCTGGTGTTTTAGAGAAAGTGGCGGAAAATGTCACGTTTTGCGAAGGAGAAGAAAGGGCCGAACCTCTGCCTTAAGGTGGCTGAACACAATTTTGGCAGTTTGTGAGTACATGTCATTTGCTAAATCATGGCAAGAGAAGGGTTGCATCTCACAAGCTGAAACTTGGCAAGTGAAAAATATACTGATGAAAGATTTTGATTGACAGGTAAAATTTGGCATTTTCGTAGTTTCCATGGCAACACGAACGATTGAATACAACCTTAAAATTTCACTTTTGCTCAGTTTATAGAAAATTCACTCATTAGATTTTCCTATAAACTTGCACATAGCTTACTATAATTAATCATTACCATTTGAAACTTATTTGACCAAATTTTAACATAGGGGTTTTTAGATAATCAGTAATATAATTGTACTGTAATTATTAAATGTGTCACAAAAATCGTCTGTTCAACTTCCATTTTAAAGTTCTCATTATCTAAAACACGATAAAAGTAAAAATTCCTCCAAATGTCACAAAATTTTAATGAGTAGATTTTGAGAAATCGTCTTCTGTTTACCATTGCTTTTTCGCCGCCATGTTTGTTTGTCTAAGTTAAAACACTCTCCGTCACGTGAGTTACTGCTGACCGCCCGCAAAACTGTGTTCAGCCACCTTAAATTAACATCGCAAGAACGTCATAAATACAACTCCACACGTGACAACTGCTATTTCAAGATTTCAAGAGGCTGCTCGAAGTCTATAGTTGATGAAGGATATCTCTCAACTTTTCGATTTGCCTGTATCCTTGTCTTCAGCAGCCTGTGTACAGGCTACAAATGACATTGACTTATCCTGATTTTCTGTGAAGGAAACGGTCTTTTTCGTGGCTTTTGTACACAATGGTCCTTTCATTTCTCTCCAGACAGGACATATTCCTATTCATTGAATTGTTCGCGAGTATTTGCCCTTGGTTCTGCATGAAACAAGCTAACAGACTCAAAGTTTGTGCATATCGACCATCAAGTTGTTTGTCTAATTTTTTATTCTCATATTATAAAGGTTATGCCCTCTAGCAATGAACCATAAGCCCGTCGACTAATGTCACTAATAATCATCCAACTCGAATAAATATTTTGGTAACTTGATTTAATGAAAATGAAAACAATATCCTCTTTCAAAATAGATTTTATAATAAAACAATTTCGTCTATAAAAGATATCGAAGCTTTAAGAAAAAATAAATCTTTTTTTAAAAAAATGATTCAAAAATAAAATATATCCTCGAAATGTCTGCTCGGTGGAATGAATCGTTTACCATTCCACAGTTGCCAAAGAAACTTTCATAAGTAAACTTGGGATTACATCCAGTTAAATTATTGTCTTAAGTAAATTTCACTTACACCTCAATTTACACTAAGTCCTGATCGCGCCAATAGAGAAGACTTCATTTCCAACCAGGCTTTTAAGAGATTTCAAGAACAAAAATGTGCTAATTTATAGTAACAAGGTGGAACAAAAAATTTACAATAACTTTCGAGAAGTCACAAAAGCATGGCTTAAACTATTGTGCAGTTTCAAGTATGTCACTCAGACCGCTATCCAAAGACAATGAAGTCAATGAAGGATCTTAGCGTGGAATAACAAATTAGAAAATAGATTAGAATATCACTTGTGTTGTTATGATAGTGATTTGTGAGCAGCCAGTGTCTGATTTCATGATATCCAGAGCTTTGATAATTGCTGGATGTTTCTTGCGTAACTCAAATGATCTTCTAAGTTAGGTCATAAAAGTCTTTTAATTATTTATTCATCGATTTTATCAAGATGTTTTTCAGGTTTCTGGTGGGTTTCTTTCTCAAAGATCTCTTTAATGTGTAACGCAGCAGGCTCGTCTCGAAATCTAAGGTATCGAATTTTTCTCATTTCTGCCTGGGAAGGAATTTCTTCTTGAAGTTTTCGCAGTCTCTGATCAATAACCTCATTAAAGTCCATAAAACCAAGGCTTGCTAAGTCAGGCATGGAATGAGATAGTCCATCGTCTCGGCTAGCTTTAAGAAGCAGAGAATTTCTAAATAATTCCTCGTCTATGGGAAATGGTTGATTTTCGTTATCGGTGCTTTCGGAATTTGCTTCATCATCGTCTACTTCCTCTTCTTGCTCAATTTTTATTGTCGGAATCTCATCACTAACGGCATGTGTAAGCTCATTATGCTCTTCTCTCTCCATTCTGTCGCCCGAACTTGTGTTAGGCCTCTTCAAAAAATCACTAACACGATCAGTTAGTTCCAAGGGCGACGCAGGCAAATCGTCAGAGCTTTTGCTGTGCATCCCCGAAGCTTTCCTAGAGGGGTGTATCTGTCTTGTATCGTCGCCGTGGGGAAAAGAACCACTCGCCCCTACCAATACAGAGGACGTGGCGCTCAAGTTTGGCGAAGAATTCGGTCGATAAAGATTAGATTTGGCGCCAGTTGATAGATGACTAACACTCTTTGGAACAGCTCGAAAACGTCGTGCACATGACGGGCTTTTCGGGGAATTAGGCCTCACGGGACCATCGGCTTGCTTCCCAACCAAAGCTGTACCATGCGCGCCAATCTGCGGTAAAAAAGGCTTCGAAGAGATCTCTTTACTTCGACCTTGTACAACGAGAGGCGAGATCCTCCCGGATGGATTTTGAAACTGACGATTGCTAATTTGTCTCTGTCTAGGATCACTCCACGTTTTTCCAATCGCTGTTTTTCCGGTTGTGGTCTTGAGCCGATGTCCGTACTGCGATAGCCTCAACTCGGAAATTTCAGCCTGAAGGTTGACTAAGTTGCTATGGAGTTGCAGGTCGAGATGTTGAAGATGACCGACCAGACGTCGATTTTCACTGGCGTTTCTGAGAGTAATTCCTCGACTTAAATCACTGGATCGAACGAGGCCCATGTTCTGGGTTGCTTCATACTTCTTCATAGCCCGTTTCGTTTACACTCGCTTTTGAGATGACTCAAATACGAACCGAACGCGTTTACTCAGCGACTATCAGCAACGCCTGGACGGCTGTCAAGAATATACCGCTAGTCAGCCCCGTAGCTGAAACGTCAGACTTTGAGATACATTCGTTTTTGAGTGATCGAGCCAAAATAATACTCCAAGTGCCACGTTCTGGTTCAGTGTTTGAGATTTTGTTGGCGAGATCATATGTCTTCGACTCTGTCACGTTGTCACGCTGTCACACGTGGTCACGAAATGTTAAATGGGATTGGGCATCTTTCTTATTGATAACTGAAACAATTAAGACAGTTTGATAAAACTTGTTTAATCGTTTTTAATTTGTATCATTACAATTCGTTCATTTGGCAGCTTGCGACAAAGCTCTCCTAGGGCGGGGTCTGGGGGTGGGAAGAGGGACCTTACGATCCGAGACGGCGAAGTCCATGAAAGCGTCGCTGAAAAATAGACTTCACATCCTTTTAAACTTTTTCACGTTTATCCCAGTTCGCCCTGTTACCTAAAAGAAAAGAATTTTTGTTGGAGCTGAAGAGAGGGGACCGCGCCCGAGTTCAGGCAGAGATGGTAGGCTTCCTTGCCGTTCCGTTATCAACTTTTAACAAATTTGGTCATTTCACGTCGTAGTTGGGCAAGGACAGCAAAGAAATGTACAAAAAAGGGTGATGCACGTGTAGAGTTGTTGTTTCGTAACGTCCCTAAATGGCTAGAAGGAGAACTCTCGTTTCTCCCCTCCCCTCCCCCCAGAGCTTGTTCACTTCGCAATCATCATCAATCACGGTATTTTGTTTCTTGTTTTTTGCTTCTGTTTTGTTTCGTTTCTTTGTTTAAAACAAGCTCCTGGCAAAAACTTAATTAATGAATACGATAACCAGATTAAAGACATACAAAGGAAAAAAAAACAGACTCAAATGAATTAAAGAAAAAGTATTTCTTACGAAAGGAAAAACCGGGAAACGGCACCCAGAAAAACTCTTTAGCACGGTGAAGCGTTGTGTAGCGACGACGTGCATGTCACGTCCTCCAGCCTATATAGTTTTATCGCGTGACTGATCGCGCGGATTCTCGTGAAGTCAAGGGGTGAGCCCACAGATCGGGGGTCTGTGGTCTGGTCGGTGTAACGTTTACGTTATGCGCGCGCAAAGCGCGGGAAGAAGAAATCCAAGATGGCGCGTCGAACAACAAATCGAAAGCAGCAGGTGAACGTTCTAAAGCAAGCTTGGGAATGGGCTAATTGCACAGAGCCTGAAAATATTACAAGGGAAAATGTTGAGAGCGCTTATAGGATAATGGCGACTGGTTGTGTGCAGGGTAATTGCAGGTAACGGCCATTTCTAACAATATTTAAATTCTAACTTTATTCAATCAATTCTTGATCCATTCAGTGAAACTTACCATCTGATAATATTATGATCGATTTCATTAGAATAAGTCTTGAGCTTTTGATAAGGTCTTCCAGTCGGATTTTAGTCTGGAGTCAAAAAACTGCCCGATAACATCAGATCTTTCCATTCAGACTTATTNAAGCAGCAGGTGAACGTTCTAAAGCAAGCTTGGGAATGGGCTAATTGCACAGAGCCTGAAAATATTACAAGGGAAAATGTTGAGAGCGCTTATAGGATAATGGCGACTGGTTGTGTGCAGGGTAATTGCAGGTAACGGCCATTTCTAACAATATTTAAATTCTAACTTTATTCAATCAATTCTTGATCCATTCAGTGAAACTTACCATCTGATAATATTATGATCGATTTCATTAGAATAAGTCTTGAGCTTTTGATAAGGTCTTCCAGTCGGATTTTAGTCTGGAGTCAAAAAACTGCCCGATAACATCAGATCTTTCCATTCAGACTTATTTATATAAGTTTATGGGCATGTTGAGAAAATAATTATGGCGTACTATAGTGCTCTTGTAGATTTCATGAATAGGAGCTAAATTAAAGTCTAGTTTATTCGTATGTGCTAAATGTTCTACTCATATCAAATGATCAACACTGAAAACTTAGGGAGCATTTTGCTTTTGAATGACTTTCATAAACATTTGTTTTGTTTTTAAAGGTTAAAGGTTTTTAAAGGTTAATATATTGAACGTGTACATGGAATAACTTCCTATTAGTAGTTCCTGGTTTAAGATCGACAAGCTTAAAATACTACGAAAATTGAAAGGGTCTATCAAAAGTCATGTATAACCCAGGTACCCTTTATTATTGGACCTTTTGCTCCTACAGTGGGAAAAGAAAAAATAAAACCACAAACAAAATTCAAAATTTTAAAAAAGTCTTTTTGAAGAATCTGAAGAAATAAATATCACTACGCAAAAGATGTGTCAAAGAGATTTAATTTGAATGAACACCACATAATTTCATCCACAGACTTAAAAGATATAACAACATACTAAAAAAATAGTACCATGTGAAAGAACTGCTGAAGAGGTTTTATTTGAATGGTAATACCATAGGATTTGATCCACAGACTCAAAAGGTAGAACTACATACTAAATAAATATAAGTACCATGTGAAGGTACTGCGGAAGAGGTTTCATTTTAATGGCAACACCAAAGGATTTTGTCAACAGATTTATAAGTTATAAAGTAACAAAATAATTATCTTGCCCTGACACATTCTAGCAGTGAAAAGGTTATCAAACTAATTCTTCTTATGTTTTTATGTTTTATTTTTTTATTATTTTGCCACGCAGAATAAATTACAAGTAGTCAGAATAGAAAAGATAATAAATAGTTAATTAATATTAAATTTAAAATGAGCATACAACTTGGAAGGAGTGACTGTGGTGGGAAATCTCAGAGAAGCAAAGCTTATGAGGAATAGAGATTTCCCCCCACGGGCAATTTAAATACTAGGTGGCATTTAAAAATAAAGAAAAAAGACGTGAATTTTAAGTATATAAGTGTGATTAGAGAAAAAAATGGATATAAAGTGTTAAGGTATTTAGGTTGTATCTTGTCTGACCCTTAGAAATGGTTTGATCACACGCTTGAATATATTAAAAGTTGGAGCGTTTTTGATTTTGCTTGGTAATGAATTCCATATTCTAGGACCTTGAAACAGGATCAAAAATTTTTTGATATTTATTTATAGATTTTTATTGATCTTTTTGCTTCTCAGGAGGAACTGCAAAGCAAACCCAAACTGCTTCAATTGCCTTGGAGAAAGATTTTGGCTCGGTGAAATTAAAGGTAGTGGATCATTCAGATTCTCAATCATTTATCAAGTAATTTTATTTTGTAAAGTTCTTCAGTTTACATAGTCAAAAATATGGAATTTGTTAGCAAAAAGTCTGCTTGGCAAAGCAGATGGAATCTGTTCTGTCAACCGCCATGTGTGAACATCTTTCATAACTACACTATACAACCTACAACTTTATAAAAAAAGCTTCATTCTTCTATTATTCATGATGACAGAAATCTGCTCAGTGTTCGACACTAATGCTAATTCACTAGTCCAGGNAATTTAAATACTAGGTGGCATTTAAAAATAAAGAAAAAAGACGTGAATTTTAAGTATATAAGTGTGATTAGAGAAAAAAATGGATATAAAGTGTTAAGGTATTTAGGTTGTATCTTGTCTGACCCTTAGAAATGGTTTGATCACACGCTTGAATATATTAAAAGTTGGAGCGTTTTTGATTTTGCTTGGTAATGAATTCCATATTCTAGGACCTTGAAACAGGATCAAAAATTTTTTGATATTTATTTATAGATTTTTATTGATCTTTTTGCTTCTCAGGAGGAACTGCAAAGCAAACCCAAACTGCTTCAATTGCCTTGGAGAAAGATTTTGGCTCGGTGAAATTAAAGGTAGTGGATCATTCAGATTCTCAATCATTTATCAAGTAATTTTATTTTGTAAAGTTCTTCAGTTTACATAGTCAAAAATATGGAATTTGTTAGCAAAAAGTCTGCTTGGCAAAGCAGATGGAATCTGTTCTGTCAACCGCCATGTGTGAACATCTTTCATAACTACACTATACAACCTACAACTTTATAAAAAAAGCTTCATTCTTCTATTATTCATGATGACAGAAATCTGCTCAGTGTTCGACACTAATGCTAATTCACTAGTCCAGGACTGGTGAAACTTCAAGCTGGGCTAGTAGTGCTCCTACTAGCCCCCTAGACCAGTTAGTTTACTGGACGAAATAAATTTTCAGATCAATTTAGGTTTCCGGGAAACTGCCCACCTACCCCTTGCTTAAGTCAACATTAACACTTACTTCTCACTTAGGGCAAAATGTTGAGTTAGGGGAGGGGTAGGTGGGCAGTTTCCTAGAAACCTAAATTGATCTAAATTTTCTACAACTCTGTAACTTGAGAAGTTCTTTTTCTAAAATGCTCCATCAGTACTCAGTTTCTATAGCTTCAGTAGTAAATGTGAATCAAATTGTACAATTGACTCGCAAAACAGAGGCCATGTTGGAAATGAGAATAGCCCATTTTCGAGTTCGCAATGACCGCTGAATTAAAGAAGGGAAGACGCATTTTTTACAGCCTTAGCCTCCATCTGAAGTAATATATTCACGAATTCCAACAAGAAAAAGACCTGTTTATTACCATCTATTGTGTATATTCAAATTTCAAACACTTACTTGCCAGAATTCTGAATATTTTACTTTATGTTGAGGCTAACCCTGTATGAATGTCTCGTTAATGTTTGCATTCAGCAGTGATTTTTAATTCGAAACTGGACTATTATGTCCTCTCCTCCATGTCAGTCAATAAAGTAGGGATCTGGGTTAGAGCCATCATAGCAGAATGCAAGAATGGCACCGCAAGAATGAAGAAGATTTCAAGCTTTTTCAATGAGTTATAGACAAGAAAGCATCATTCAATGACCGGTGATTCTTTTTTTTGACCAGTGACTTGTTCTTGTGGGCTAACTGATTTATTTCACTCACTAGCCCATTGGCTAGTGTCCAACAAAGTTAGTATCGAGCACTACCGCTA